CAATCTGTGAGTTAGCCATGCCCTGACTTAGATCAGCCCAGAGGTTGTTTCAGGGTTCAATCTGTGAGTTAGCCATGCCCTGACTTAGATCAGCGCAGAGGTTGTTTCAGGGTTCAATCTGTGAGTTAGCTATGCCCTGACTTTGATCAGCCCAGAGGTTGTTTCAGGGTTCAATCTGTGAGTTAGCCGTGCCCTGACTTAGATCAGCCTAGAGGCCATTTCAGGGCTGTTACTAAGTGTGCTTACTTACCGCCCTTTTTAGACACTGTTTTCTGATTCCTTCAGGAGTACAGTCAGACTTGGTGGCGCAAGTTGACTCGATGATGTTTGTGCCGTTGCTCACATAAGCAAAGCGAACACATCTAGTGTATCTACGAGAACACTGTACTTCATGTGAACAGTGTGCTGAGCCCGCGGCATTACAGTGTATACATGTCAGCGGTGCAGACCCTTAAAGGTAAGAGTAATAGAATAAACCTTTCAGCTATGGTGCAATGTTTCCCATTTCAGACCATGTGTCATTCCCTTGAGTATTATCTCTTTCTTTACTAGGAATACTTTTCAGTTATGGTGCAATGTTTCCCATTTCAGACCATGTGTCATTCCCTTGAGTATTATCTCTTTCTTTACTAGGAATACTTTTCAGCTATGGTGCAATGTTTTCCCATTTCAGACCATGAGTTATTCCCTAGAAAGTTATTTCTTTCTTTATTAGGAATGCTTTTCAGCTATGGTACAATGTTTTCCCATTATAGACCATGTGCCATTCCCTTGAGTATCATTTCTTTCTTTACTAAACATATATTAATACCTGATCCACAAAGGTGCTGTGTTTCATCAAAACCATCGCCGCAGTCATTGTCTCCATCACACATATGCATACGTGAGATACATTTGCGATTCCCACACCTGAAGTAACGGTTTGTGCACACTGACAAAATAAAGAGATTTAGTAAAAATACGTTATACGCAGGTGATTATAGAAAATCTCGCGCGCTGATTGGTCAAGAAACTCACACTATCACACGATAATCACTTCGAGCGAAAATCCAAAATGGGCGCCAGCCGCTTCGTTGCTGTTACCGGAAAAATGCCTTTTATCTTCTTTTATTTTTCTTTTTTTTGAAAGAATCACCTGTGTATTTATTTGCCTCAGGCTCAGTGATTACTGGGGAATATTTACCTCGCCACTCGCCTCTCGAAGACTCGCGTCTCGGTAAATATTCCCTGATAATCACTTCGCCTTCGGCGAATAATTGTTAAATAATCGAGTTATTACGTACACGAGTGTTGATTGGTTCATGATATAACGCTAGAGTTGATTGGTTCATTTGTTTGGCAGATGATATAACGCCTTCATTATATACGAACAGCTAGTTTTAAGGCCCAAAAATATCTTTATTAAATTTACTTGAAACCAACCTCTCTTCAGCGGACACCCTTAGTTAATAATATTTTCGTTGAAGTGCGACCCGGGAAGTGTGATGTCTTGTTCGCCGGCAAGCGTTTCAACGAGCGTCAATTTTGGACTGAATTATACATTTTAAAGGATTAGAGATTTTTATAGAGGATTATCCTCTTAAATCTTTAATTCAGTCCAAAATCTCCCTAAAGATTTTTTAATGCAGTTCTTTGATTGACGGTCGTCAATGCTTGTATGCGAACGAGACATCATGCAAACTTCGCAGGTCGCATTCCAACGATGACGGTAGTATTTTTGGACACTAGGAAAGGCCAAGTCTCCCCCGCATGCGTCATTAGTTCCGGTCCCAGATCCTCACTAAACACGACAGCGGAGCTCGAGGAGACTAGGTAAGGTCCCGGAGTTGTCCGATTACTACCGTTTTCATAAACATGAGAGCTCTGTGTCTGCGAGCTGCACGCTTAAATTTGGTTTTAGTTCACTGCCGTCAGTCAAACCTAATCAGTCGGTACCTTTTATATCTTTGACTGACGGCAGCGAAAAACCAAATTTCAGCGTGCAACTCGGAGACACAGAGTTCGCATGTTTATGAAAACGTCAGTAATAGAGGTAAATCTGAACCTACCTTCTCCACATCCCTTCTCGTCTGAATTATCACCGCAGTCATCATTCTTATCACATCTGAAGGTAACCTTGATGCATCTTCGGTTATCACATTGAAACTGCCCCCAGGTACAGTTATTGACCGCCAATGTAGGATAACCTGAAACGAATGAATTAGGAACTTCAATAAGACAAGATAAGGGACGGACCATTAGATTTGGAGGGGGGAGGGGGGGAG